TCGAAAATAGGATTTTTTTTAGTTTGTTAGTTGTTTGGATTGGGTGTTGTTCCAATTGATTGAAAATATCAAAAGGAGTTCAAAATTTCAATTTGAAGTGACTTTGAGTAGATTTGAGCAAGATTTGAGTTAAATTTCAGAAAAGACGCAAGGAAGAAGACGAAGTCAGCTTTTTGTATAATTATGTATAATCTTGTATAATAGTGTATATGGGTGTATAAACACATCTTATACATTATTATACACTTTTATACACCTTTATGCTAGCGGCTGTAGACGAACTTCTTCCACGATTTTTAGTTGCAATTTTTGTTCAAAACCAGTCTAAATCTCCATTAAATGACTTCAAATTTTATATATAGCCTCCTTATATTATTTCTAACAATTCTAAATAACACCCACTTCAAATTTCTCACAAAATCAAATTCGGAATCTAAACCCACATATTTAAGCTTGTTAAACATCTAATTTTCACCATTCAAATGGACTTAGTTTGTTGAACTAATATTTGAGTATAGCTGCTGATTCAAAAATTAATTTAAAAGCTTGAGCAATCTTTTTTTAAAATTAAATAGTAATTTTGAAAATTTATTGGAGTTAGATGTTGAATCTTAGCCTATTATTTTTGGTTAGTTGGTTGTAAATTGAAATATGGGCTATAAAATTGAAAAGTAGGGGTCCAAGTTGTTCTAATTTTCCCAATATAAATTACTAAATGATCATTATTTAACCACTTTTATATATAAAGATCCTATAGTTTTATTTTAAAATATTCATTACTATTTTAAAAATTAAATATAAAATTCACTATTAAAAAAATGAGGCCTCACTAATTTGGGGGCCTAAGGCCATTGCCTTAGTATTAAAATAGCACAGGCTAGCCAGTTTTCAGACTGGTCATTCAAAAATAGTCAGCGTTTGCCAAGTCATTGAAAAATAATCACTATTTTGCTGCAACAGAGACCGGTCTAGCTCCAGCATAATATACTGGAGTTCCGTGCACCTGTGTATGAACTTCCAGCATATTATGCTGGACCGGTATACTTTGCTGGCTCCAGTATAATATACTGGAGTTCCAGTATACTTTGCTGCAACTCCAATATATTATACTGGAGTTCCAACAAAGTATACTGAAGTTCCAGCATAATATACTGGAATTTCAGTATAATTCCAGTATATTATGCTGTAGTATTTTCCGGATTTTGAGCAGTGTTTTCGTTCAGATTTATCTTTACATGAAAAGTGGCTAAATTTTGATGACTTTTGAAACTGTGGCTATTTTTGAATGATCACTTGTAAATCTGGCTATTCTTGATAGTTACCTCCTATAGCAAAGGTTCATACCTTATTTATTTTAAATAAATACCCTTTTAAAAAATTATATTCCATAGCTACCTTTTGATTTTTATAGCCAAATATCTATTTATGGTCACCTCTTACTCTTAAGCCACAAAATACGCCTTGTATTATTTCTTTCTTTCATTCTTTCAGATTTTTCTCCACCCTCTCTCTTTCAACTCCAGTCTTTCTCCATGAATACAACCACAATTCTCCCAAATACAGATCGAAACGGGCAGCTTTTGACTCTCAATCTGGAATTTTTCAGCAAGAATGGAATGGAGAGAGAAGTGAAGTCAACAACTATGGACAAAAATCAAAAAGCTTCAATATTTGATGCTGCCAAGAACCAGAAAGGCCACCAAAATACCCTTACAACCCTAAACAAACTCATGTGGACGTTGAAAATGGCACAGGCGTGATGATTTAATTTGTAATTTATGATTTATTACAGCCTATTAAGTTGAATTAACTCAATGTGCTATGTTGTGTCCTCTTCTCTTCGTCGTTCTAGGGTTCTGCCCAATTAGGGGTTTTCCGTCCCAATCCACAAGCGCCATTCAAATTCAATTGTAAAGAATAGGTTTTTTGAAGCGCACGTGGGGGTATTATGGTAACAGGAACAGTGGCGTCGATGGAGACAGTCTATTAGAGCAGCTTCTAAGTTTCTTCTTCTCCCCTTCATCACATGCTTTGTCTTCAATCCGGTAATTACGTGCTAATCGTCGGCAACCGGAGGCAACGGTGATGGCGAGCGAGGACTGGATACTGATGCTGCTTCAACGAGACGACATTAGGGTTGTTCTTGAACAAAGACGACAGAGATGGGGGCTGAGCAACTTGAATTTTCTATTAATATATTTCAATGTATTTCACTGTATTCATTGTCTTTTTTTCATTGTATTCCAATGTATCTCGCTGTATTCTATGTATTTCATTGTATTGGTTGTCATTTTTTTCATTGTATTTCAATGTATCCCGCTGTATTCTATGTATTTCATTGTATTCTGTCTCGCTATATTCCATGAATGCATTCATATATTTTTTTTAATTAATATAATTTATGTATTCAGATGTATTATATAATTTCTCTGAAGATTGCTATGTTTTGGGGTGTTTTTCGATTGAGAATCTTTTTTATAACTGAAAATGCAAAATTTGTGTGTTATAATTGAGTTTGTTGAGTTATATTAGGAGTCTATTATGTTAATTGATTCACTTTCCGTTTAAAAACAGTGTAATCCCCTGTTTCGCGCCATGAATACAGTCGAATACAATAATCTGCCCAGCTGTAATCCCATGTTTCACGCCATGAATACAGTCGAATACACTCGAATAAAAAAATCTGTCTAGCTGTAATCCCTGTTTCACGCCTAGAAATACTACTGTATTCATGAATACAGTAGCTTAAATACATCGAATACACTCTAAAAAATCTGAAAACATAGCTATAGGAGGTAATATAGTAAATGTTAGCTACAACTAGCTACTAACCACTAAAACATAGTGGTTTCTGAAAGTTTCTCTTTTTGAATTTCTCCCTAAGTGGCTTAGGCCTTGGAGCCGGCCCTATTCTCTTTTTCTCTAGATATTGACAGAGAATTCCGTCATAAAATTGGGGGATTTGCAGTCATACTCTATATTTATGATACCTTTTAACATGTACCCTATTTTTAAAAACTATTGAATTCGTAGCCAACTAACAAAAAATCCGTAAGAATATGACCATTATACCCCTTCCAAAACAAAAAATCCCTTTTTTTCATATGCTATGGATAGCCAGATATATTCCATGGAAACGAAAGTTCTGTCCAGCGGAATTCGCCACTCTATTATCCCTCAAAGTTATATCCGCCCTCAATCCGATAGGCCACTCCTTTCTGAAGTCGCTGATTGTGAAAATGTTCCAGTAATTGACATGGCCTGTGGAGATAGAAACCTTTTAGTTCATCAATTTGGTATTTAAGAAGTATACCAAATTGGAGGAATCTGACCAAGAGGATTACATAAGTTAGTGAGCACCTGTATTTCCATCTAATACTTNCAAAACTTCAGCTCTAGAGCTGAAGTTCGCCAAGTTCAAAACAAAACTTCAGCTCTAGAGCTGAAGTTCACCGGTTACAAAACAAAACTTCAGCTCTAGAGCTGAAGTTCACCAGTTACAAAAACCAAAACTTCAGCTCCTAAAGCTGAAGTTCACCAGTTACAAAACAAAAACTTCGCTAGTTACAAAACAAAAACTTCAGCTCTAGAGCTGAAGTTCACCAGTTACAAACAAAAACTTCAGCTCTAGAGCTGAAGTTCGCCAGTTACAAACAAAAACTTCAGCTCTAGAGCCAGGGGCGGATTTAGGGGGGCGGAAGGGAGTTCACCCGAACCCCCTTCGCCGAAAAATTATACTGTATATATAAGGTAAAATCTGGTTTTTACCTCTATATATTAAGTTTTGAACCCCTTTAACACAACCCAAAAGTGTAGTTTAGTGATCAAGGGGGTTCAAAACCTTCATAAGGTCATAGGTTCAATTCCCACTAGCTACAAAAAAAAAAAATTTTAACCCCCTTCGTGGAGATCCTGCCTCCGCCACTGTCTAGAGCTGAAGTTCGCCAGTTACAAAATAAAAACTTCAGCTCTAGAGCTGAAGTTCACCAGTTACAAAAACAAAAACTCACCAGTTAGAAAACGGCTCGCAGTATATTTCGACGCCGTGGGAACGTGCAATCACAGGTATAATCTATCATGAAAAAGATGAAGATTCTCTTTCCAGTGAATTCTTCCATGCATGTTCACTATAAAGAGGTAATGGCAAAGGCTTTTTAAGATCATCCTTCTGTAGTGCCAGAAGAAAAGAAAATTTTGAAAGTGAATTTATTGGTGATGAAATCAACTTTTCTCCCATTTTTGGTTCTGAAAAGTCCTAAAACGTGCTTTAACGACTTTGCATTGTTCCTTGAAATAACATAGGTGTACTGTTAGCTTCCTTTGAGAAAATTTCAGTTTTAACATAGAGGACTAGCGTATACTTGGAGAGAAAGTAGCCTTTTAATAAAGAAGGGCAAAATAGTCTTTTTAAAAGGCTTTTAACAAAAAACGGGAACGGGTGCAAACAGAAAAACAAAGCGGCTACAGGTTAAAAAGGGGCGCCCAAATAGGGCGCCCCATGCAATTTTTACTAAAATTAGCAATGGATTACTTAAAGGAGATAGGAACCGAAGTCAATCAAGAAAACCCATAAAGAGAAATTGTTTTCTTCCCCAAAAGATCAGCAACTTCATAAACTATTACTAGATGATTTTCAACTTGAAAACATCATATTATGACTATGAAACCTGCATGGCTTCATTCTACACCAATTTACACTTGTATGTGCAAACCCATGTCATCCATTTATTGGTGGGTTATAAGCACCGAGTGCAGGTAATTTTTTTCCAACCTGAGGTGTTGCATTCGCGATGCTACTTTAGAGTGGCCAACATGGCTCGTGACAAGCTTATGAAATTGTCGTTTTGAGTCACAGCCCCTACTCACTCTTATGTTGACAAAACTGGTGACCAGTAATTGGCTTTTTGCAAAATTAGAATGTCTCAACTATACCATCAAAAAGCTTACTCACTCTCACCATTACATGAAGCAACGGTTTGCCAACAAATGCAACATTGGAGTGTTTAAGCAAGTGAAGAAAAATGATGCTGAGAATCTACTAGCTGAATAAATCAACATATAACAACCACACAGCCCGAGTAAAGAACATGAATATTACAAAAGAGTTGGCAGGTAACACTTTAATACTTTATGCAGATTATCTGAGACTTTGAGCTTCTGTCAGTCTAACAAAAAACCCTCTAATAAATATATATACTGCACACGGGGATAAATCTCATGGATTTACCCCTTAAATCGGACAACAATGCATGAGATATCATCTTTACTTTCTCTGATCAGTGCTTCGATTGCTAACTGCTTGGCTGCCTTCTGTGGGTCCTTGACTTTCCTCACAATGTCAACTGCCTCTTGATTAGACATTACCTGGAGAATCCGAAATCAGAAGCAAGAAAACAAGAAGTTGCACCAGAGTGCCAGAATGGGAAGGGAATAGAGAGAATATTGGAGCAAACCGCACCTTCCATAGACCATCGCTTGCAAGTATGAGGAGATCTGTATCCCCATCGACATCAGCATTTGTTACATCAGGATCAGAGCTCAGGTGCGATTTCAGATTCTTGTCCCCAAAAGCGCGAGATACAGCTAGTTGGCCATTCACTCTAGCAACATCTCCTGAGATTATATACAGTATATATATAATAAGCAGGTCATTAACAATCTCCAAATACAACAATACTTGAGACACCTTTTAAGTCTAGATCAAATCCGTTTAGTTTGGATGTAAGGCACCCCGAAGGACTCTTGTGATTTCTAACTCTAGCTACGAGTAGGTTTTTAAACAAAGATATTAGATCACTATCTTCTTTCTTTCTTTTTTCTTCCTTTCAGCACAAAGCACAAGTGAACTAGCAACAGTGAAATGAGATATTTTAGATCAGATCATATCAGATAAACGAAAAAAGATAGTTGACACATGGTTAAGTTCTACAAAAAACCGACTGACCAGCTTATGCAACTATAAAAAGGAAGTCTATCGATCAAAAAGAATATTTTCGGTGAGCCACAAGCGATAGATATCAAATCATTAATCAGAACAAGCACCTGGTGTTATAAAGGTTGTAAAAACGAGAGGAAAAGACTTTCTCGAAAGAATTTGAAGGAAAGAGCAGTTGTCTCATTTTATGGTCTTCAGCTCCTCACCATATCTGCTAGCTTCTTTGACGTTAAGTTAGGTCCAAAGTCCATTTCTTTTTACATGGTATCAGAAGATCTCAAATATTTCAAGCCTTCTCCCATTTTTCTAATCTTTTTGATAGCCTCTAAACCACATGTCTAGTGAAGAAAAACGAATGTGGGGCTCTCTGATTAATTAAATCACTCTTCTTCTTCTTCTTCTTCTTCTTCTTCTTCTTCTTCTTCTTCTTCTTCTTATTCTTATTCTTCTTATTCTTTTTTTTTATAAGGACTACTCGCCCAGACCCCCTAGACCCCCTCAAGAACAACAGTGGTGATTGGTGATTCTAATTCTCAACCTTGTGGTTAGAGGTGGAGATTCCTTCCACGAGGCCAACACTCTCTTGTCATTCCAATTAATTAAAAAATTTAAACTCCTTTCTACCACCTGCTTCAAGCATTGCAGTTGGAATATTTCTTCTTGGAAGAAAACTTATTGCAATTAGTCGGATGTGGTTCTTCTGCTCTTGTTAGTAAAGAGTTTCTGCTCTATTTACTATTAGTTCCACAATCCATGTCAAAGATAGTCTCGGACCCTTCATGCACTAACACATAATAAACCACCATAAGATTTGACAATCTAAGTCTGTAGCCCGCTTCCGCACTCCAACACTCAAAGGACAGGAAGACCCATTTTTTTTTAATCAAACACAATGTTTGCAAATGAAGTTCACAGTGTACAACCTACAGAACCTATTAAAAGAACCCACTAATCATTCTCTAGAATAAAAACATCAACCACCAATTATTTCATCTAATTTATTTCCCAGTTAACTAACTTGTGCAAAAAAAAAACTTCATGTTTGTTCGACACAAATTCATGTCACTGGCTCATCTTCACAAATAGTTTTGATTATTGTATATTCATCAGGTAATGTAACTGGACCGGACATGTGGATGTAGAAAATGTAAATGTAATTCCCACAATCAACACATAGACCACACACCCACAAAGAGCACGGCAAAATCGGCTTTAACCCGACACCTCACACTCAACAAGTAGACACTTCCATTTTGAAACCGGTGACTTTACTTTGGTGGTGCTTGGTGAGGGGTGGAGAAAACTGGAAGGGGTGAAAGAAGGCTTCAAACATGGACGTCAAATTCGGCAGGGAGAGTCCTTCCTAACTAGAGATCTTGACCCAAATAGAGACTTCGTTAACAGGCTAGAAACCGCAGGACCAGCTGTAACTGACCTAGTTAATTGTAAACAACTATTTCTAAATTTTGGTAAATGGACTTCGGCAAACATATATCGTTAACACACTTCTATGTTTTTATTAGCTCGTATAATGTTTGGAGAAACAGTGAATCAAAGAAAGCTTAACATGCAATTCACAGTCCAACTCATGAAGCATTTTTCATTTACTCTGCAGACAAAATTGCTATTAACACATAGTCCACACACCCACAAAGAGCACGGCAAAATCGGCTTTAACCCGACACCTCACACTCAACAAGTAGAGGAGAGTTCTTCCTTCTTTGTACCGGGTATTCTTTGTACCGGGTAGTCTGATAGAGTTTTGTTTAGGTTTGTTAGCGGTCTATATTGTGTTCACATTGTTGTTTTGCATAGTTTTGTGTTATTCTCCTTTCACTTATTCGTGTTGTTATTTTCTTTCTGGCATCTTTTGTTGTTACATGCCTTTTCTCTTGTTTCTTTTCTGAAATTATTGTCTCTTCCGTTGAGCCGAGAGTCTCCCGGAAACAGCGTCTCTACCCTTTTCGGCGTAGGGGTAAGGTCTGCGTACACTCTACTCTCCCCAGACCCCACTAGTGGAATTTATTGGGTATGTTGTTGTTGTTGTTGTTGTTGTCTACAGACAAAATTGCTATTATCCAGAATCCAGTTCTCCTGTCCCTTTACCCTTTACCCTTTACTCGGTTACTTCTTGAGCGCAGCTGCCATTTCCTCTGCTTTTTGTCCCAGAAAGATTGTGTCAGTTAGTCCAACCACTAAGATTGTCTATTCCTCCTCTTCTAACAAAACCGTATGAGGTGTTTTTTATCATCAGCAATATTTACGTTCAAAAGTGAGTTAATAGCAGGTAAATTCTCAAACGTCATCCTAACTACAATTATTAGAGCAATTTTCAGGAAAAACCCCAAACAGTTTGCATTACATTTTCGTTACGATATCAACTGTAGAACTCTGACTTTTCCACATTAACCTCGAAAACACTAGCAAATATCTTCAATCACATAAAACCACAAAAATTTGGACTCCTTATCCTGAGCCCTACCAACGTAAGATGAAGTATCACATAAATTAGGTGTGAGATATTAAACTAGATATCATTGGTTTTTATTAGAAGCAGATAATTGGCACTAATACACTCGGGTCTCTGTTTCGAGCCCCTAAGAATGAAGAATTTCCTAGTAGGGAGCGCTTCACCCTTAAATGGGCCTTAGGGCGCGAATCTGGATTAGTCAGTCATTGATTCCGGAATAACAGAAAGTTAAACCCATACAGGCCTATGACTAAGATACTACATATGTATGAACCATGTTAGGACGACTTAAAGAACTAATTGATACAAGCCATTTTCAATTTGTACTAAAAGATACATTGAATAGAGAAAACAGAAACACTATTATATCCACAGGAGCAAGTCATGTCAGCACTTATAAAAGGAAAAAAAAACACAGCATATGAGAAGCACCTGGCATGTTGGAGACAAAACCACCTCTGTTTTCAATGTCGCCTCGCTCAGTGTTTGGTTCATGATCAATTGATAGCTGGATGGCCTGACCCCTCCTAGAAAGTACTGCTCTGGAATCTCCAACATTTGCTACCCATAACTTACGACCATTTATAAGAATTGCAGTCACAGCAGTAGAGCCACCTCTTCCAAGATCAGGACTGTGTGAAAGAATAGCTTGATCTGTTCTCTCATATGCTTTTAAGATTGCCCTATGAGGGTCATTCCGAAAATCCTCCTAGAAGTTTTAAATGTAAAAGGTGAGAGAAACTCAAAGCAAACCGCCGCCCCCTAACAGCCAAAAGTAAAACAATAACCCCAACATTTTATTTGAAAGTAAAGAAATAAAGCTGCCCAAGATTAAATTATCACGCATCTGATGCATTTAATGTTAAAAGTAATGCATTAGGATTTTGTTCTTGGCATGACACCCTTATATCTGAGTTGATCTCTAAAGAATACTTTAGCTTCTGCGATTCAAAATTCACTTTCCATAACCAATTTTGAGCTGAATGATCTAGCTAGAGCACCAATAGCATCTTTCAATAAAAACCACCATATGCAAGGTATAGAAAGGGGAGAAATAGGAAGCATCTTTAGAATATGTTTGAATGAAAATCGACGACATAGCCATCATTGTATGCCCCAAGTAAATTATCTTACTTAAAACACAGATAACACAACGAGCCAAGCATTTCTCACAAATCGTAGAAGTTTATTTTTGCTGATCTACCTAAAACCACAATTTACCTCATTTAAGATATTGGAAAACAAATGCTTCTGTAAATAGGCAGGAACGCTATCTCCCAAATGCCCATCATAAATAGCAAAAAGTCCTAGTTCACGTCCTTGCAACTGGACGAACTTAGCAACATGGAAATCCTCCATGGGATGACTAGCTTTCCCCTTAACCAGGCTGAAACCATACTTTGTAGGCCCTTGATTGCTTCTTCCTTTTCCCGAACTACATAATGACCGTCCTCCTGCAAGCTAAACGCAAAATGATACATCAGCTTTCTGAATCCAGCCAAATATGTAATGCAGACAAACCATAAATTGAGACTGAACAACCACCCCACCAAAATTTACTATAACAACTAAATTCCAGCTGATATGGAAGTAAAATTCTTGAAGTCATTCATCAGGCTTTCTTAGAAAGAGGACCAACGGAACACCAATCATGAAAAATGTCAGTAGTAATTCCTGCAGCGGGAGAGGGGCAAAAGTTGTAATACTACACGTCCCAACAAAACCAGAGGATAGAATGCTAAATATCAGAGAATTACTCCCCATCAAATACGTCCTCATTGAAGAAATTTCATCAAAAACACAATATGCAGGTAGGACAAACAGAAGAAGCCAGAACTTTAGGAGGCCAACTGAGAAGAAAATAAACAGATTAAGATTCCCAAGGGCTTCTAGAAACATGTATTCTACGAAGGGCCAAAGGTGGGTCGTTCAAAGATGGTTAATCTATACTATTATAAAAGCACGAATATAATGTTAGTAGACAAAAATAGCCTTAATTACATCAAGCTTTCCATCAAATCAATAGGTTATATTGGTAAAAAAACATATTGAGATAAATATGGAGTTCTAAATAAATAACTACTCTAAATATGGTCTTCTTTCATTGTTGAAACCAAATTGTAAACATCATCCAAAAAAATAAATGAGTCCGATTAATTGCAGCACTTAATTCAAAAAAGGAGACGAAAATATTCTATACGATGTTGAATCACAATAATGTCATAACTAAGGAGAAATATATAAACAACAAACAAAAGTAAACAAATAAATTAGATACACACAAACGAATAGAAAACTTAATAGTTGTTGTGTACCAAGGGAACAAAGTGAATACTTTTGAGACAAATTAATTGATTTTGTTTTAGCGTCTTTCGGTATAACAATTTTATCTGATGTATCTCTCTACACAACTAAAGTATTTCTTTCAAACAAGTAACTCTTATTGGATTATAGTGATTCGTAATTCAATTTATTGGAACTATACATTGAAAAATTATACAAGGATTACTATTTTGGATAACTAATATTTAGGACTTCAATATTTAGGAGTTAGGACTTTGAAACTAAATTTGTATCCTATCTTATTCATACAATGCTTACTTAGTATTAAAAGCGCCTTTATTCTTGAATTCAGAAGCGTCATATTTTCTGATATTTATGGGGGGGTTTTACATGTTGATTTTTATGGAGTTGATTTCTTTAAATATCACTCAAAATTGTGCAAGAAAGTTAGTTTCTTTGTTTTGTAGCAGCTCTAAGTTCCTAATCTGGCAATTCTTTTTGAATCCAAAGTTGTAAACACAAAAGCCATATTGTAATCGTTTTACTAACCCACTCCAATGACTCAACCTACTAGGCTTTATTAAATGTTACATAACAGAGCCCGCATTCTCATCTAGGGTTTATTTTAGCTTTTTTACTATCTATTGTTTGAATTAAAGAACGGCATGTGGGGTTAGAGTTTATTTGAGATTCCTTGGTTTTTCTTCTCGATCCACTATCAAATTTCATCTTCAAAAATAAAATTTCGTACTAGACTGAGAAAAAGCACAAAATCGCCTAAAAGGAGAAAAGGAAAGGAAGCCATCGTTACTTTATTTTATCAAAATAAGGCTGTGTCATGTAAAAATAAAAGCTAGCGGGTTTGACATTAGAGCATGTCAGCAAAATGGTTAATAGTTGGCTTTTTATGCTTAAAACGCTACCATAACAGCTAAAGCCAGCTAAAAATTTCAGGCTAAAATATCACTTGAATATGTTGCGTGACTTTGCAGGTGAAATAGTAAAAAGATACTTCCTCCGTCTCCATTTTATGTGACATTTTTCGCTTACCGAGATTCAAATTTCTTAATTTTGACCTTGAATTTGAACATAAAATCTTTAAAGTTTGGGAAATAAAACTTATATATTTGGAAATTACATAAAAAGTACTATAAGTCACAATAATTAACAACTCAAAATATTTAAAGGCATATAGAAGAATCTCCGTCAACGAAGAATTTGTTTTGACTCTCAAAATCCGTACACCTTACATAAAATGGGACAGAGGGAGTAGTTATTTTTCTGTTTCAAAATAAAGAAAAGCGACTTTATAAGTGAAATAGCAAATTAGAGTAACTTTTCAGTTACAAACCAAAGAAAAGTGACTTTCTTACATAATTTTCATTAGTTGAATGACCGTATGAAAAGTCAACTCAATATTTAAGCTACGGCAAGCCGTTCGAACTCATAAAAATAATTACGCGCAAGAACCAACAAAAGCAAATTGCTATACAATTCTGTAAGTTACAATCCAATCCATATGCTTCCTCCTTTTTTTAGGTTGTGAAGTTTTGAATCATTAGAAAATTTTGAATTTCTTTGAAGCCAAAACTCCAAGACTTAATTGTAATAAGTTTTTAAATTTTATTATATGTTCCTCTCAATTTATGTTTTGCGGCTATATATGGGTATTTTTTGGAAGAGCTAAAAGTAAGGAAGGGGATTCATCCACACCAGAAAGACGACCAAGTATATCCTATGAATGATAATGCTAAGTATGGAGATTTTTTAATAAGTTACATGTACTTTGAAACAAGGGTAAATAAAAAGTGATAAGTCATCCAAATTTCATGAACCAATCTCATTATTTATTTACCTACAAAAGTTTAGCTTTATGAAGTTATTTTGTGACATTCAATGTAGCCTCAAAATTAAAGTGAGATTAGTTTGTGAAACAAGCCAACCATGAAGGATAAATGTAAGAATTACCATCCTCAAAACCTCTACTATGTAATAATAAATCAATGTAAAATAATGAACACTCTATTTATAGGAGAAAAATTTATGGGAAAATGAAAAATGTTCATAGCATGATAATCAGTAATCAGTGGGTTGAGTCATATATAGTCCTTATTTACTAACGAGCTGAGATACAATTGTAACATTAATGTAGAAGCTTGCTTTATGAGTAAATATAATAAAGTATCTTTATGAGTTATACATAATGGCCATGATAGGTATATTGTTTATGAAATTAAATTGCTTAAGTGATCATACAAGGATAGTAGTATGTAGAGGTTTTGACGACATATGTCTGTACATACAGATTGGGGCCAATATGGCTTCAAACATGTGCTTATTTTATGAATTTAACTTTTTCCTCCAAAAAACAAAGGATATCCTTTAAATTTATATAAAAATAAGTACACTTACATTTTCAATGACAAATGTTCAAACGATCCTCAATGTTGTACTATACTAGCGACAGCATGTTTTCTCATTCAGACTACTTTAAGTTGCATTTTCAAGAGGCATATCGATGTAGAGAACGTATTTCTGAATATGGCAAAGTAACCAAAAGCGATAGACGAGAACATTTAACTAACCTAATTAAGTTGATCCTTTTTGCAGGTTCGAACAATATCTAATCATTTTAAATTTAAGTATCATGATGACTAAAGTTTTACGTGCATCGCAAGTACATACGAACTAGTTAAAATTGTTAAGGCAGAGAAGTCATGACACTAAGATGGCACTTTCCTGCAGCCAATCGTAAAGACTGCGCATAGGAAAAGGACAACATTTAATCCAGAATATTTCATAATAGAGCAATACATAGCTTATTTTCACTAAAAACAAAAGCCCCCTTTCGCCTAAGCCATAGATATCAAGAAAAATTAGAGACTCCTCATTCTTCACCAGGACATAACTCAATAAGACCTGCATAATTTAGCTAAACCCCTAAAATAACTGCTTAAGAATGAATTTTAGTTTTTTATCGAAAAGCATCATTTACATCCCTTGGAGTGAACGCGGGACGCTTTGTGCACCGGGCTACTTTTTTTTTTTTTTTTCTAAAGCATCATTTAAGGACTTCCATCATAAAAGCTAAAGGATCATCAGCCTATCATATATAGCCTAATTAAAGTAACAGCTAAACAATTAAGGATAAAACTAAAAAGGAAAACAAATATGCATCTAGCAAAACCTAAAAGAATCCTAAAAGAATTAGCTGCCAATTAAACCTCACCTGCGAGAAGAGAGAATTGAAGCAGCACAAATTACCCATATAATTCAGTCACTTCTCAGCCGCCTACTATAGTAAGTAACATGTACCATAACCACTCTTAAATTCCTGAAATTCACAACCTACAAAATCAAAGAAAGAATCTTGATCGTCAAATAGATAAAAAAAAATAATAATAAAAAAAAAAACAACAACAACAACAACCAAAACTTATCGAAGAATCCATCTTTCTTAAAAAATCACCAAATTTTTCAAAAATCAAGATTTGGGTATTGCAAAAAAGTCTCAACTTACCGATCCACCAGTCTCCAAAATTCCAAAGAGATAAATATTGATATAGCCAATAAGATTTGACTTTTAGCTTGACCAAAACTTATATATGTAAGATGTATAATTAAACAGAAGCAAAATCAAAAATTAACAAAGAAATTTTAGGAAGTTTGAAAAGTTTTGGAGATGGAATTAAATGGAGTTAGTGAAAGTGTTGGATTTGCTGTGGAGGCAAGAATGGCTGTCAAAAAGACTTTTTGCTTTGGGTTTTTGGGCTTCCCTTATTGACTTTGTTGTCTTTATTACTATATTTCTTTAATTAATTATTGTTTGTACTAATGTTACAGCCAGTCAGAGGGGACTACTTGTTTTTTCTTTCTTATAGTACAGCTGTGTTTCCGTTTTATTTCCTTTTTTTCCTTTTCTAACACTGAAAATATTTAATTTAAGTGGTTAAATGAAAAAGTAGTTTAAGGAATTAGTACTATAAATTATTTTATTAACAGAAAAAGTAGTACTAAAACTGATCATCAATTTTGTGACCATGTTCTTTGGTCAGCACTTGTACTTTTTAAATCCATAAAGAACCTTGCTTTTCAACTGTTTATCACCAGTTTTTACCACTACCATAAATAATCAATCTTTTATCTGAAACCTCTTTTTCTTATAATAAGATTTACTGTAGTGTTACACATTTGTAGCAAAAAGCAAAGTACAAAAAGATTGTCAACGGAATTAGAATCTGCAGTTCACGTGATTTGATGAGTTGGACTGAATTATTCCCGGAAAGTTGAAGCATATTATACCAGTATACTATTTCATTTTTTTATGGCCGTCCGCGTGCATCTTGATTATTTCATTACGTACTTGTTATCTTTTGTCAGCACGAAGCACAACTTTATCAATCAAGGCTTAAGCAAATATGATAAGATCACCTTATTTTTTCTTTTTCAAGGTTGACCGGTGCACGAAGTATTCTGCATTCACGCAGTATCTAAGAGGGAGGACCACATCCCAAAAAAGTGTGATGTAGGTAGTTGGCTGATTCTATGGCTCGAGCCTCTGACCTATAGATCACCTTATATTATTTTCCCTGCACTAAAATTTAAACTCGAAATCTCATGATTTTTTGAAAGATTGAAATCACCCGAAAAAGAATTTAGGCACAAGCAAAAAATTCAAGCAAGATTATATAAAAGAAATTTATTAAACTACGGAGAAATCGTAGTAGAAGGCTTTTTCACAACTCATAAACTCTTGAATATCTCTACATCATAGCTACCTCTCCATAATAGAAAATATGTATCAAGACCCCTATTTATAATACTACAATCCACTTTGACTAGACTAACAAAATTTATTCCAATATGAATTTGGTAAATAAAATCTAACTAGACATGAATTTAATAAACTACATATCATATCCTAGACGATGTAGCAATACTAATTAATCTTGGTTTATATAATTTCCAACATTTTTCACCCATTTTATTAACCATTAGGTCACCTTATATTATTTTTCCTGCAATAAAATTTAAACTCGAAACCTCATTATTTTTCACCCATTTTATTAACCACTAGGTCTCATCCTTGAGTAGTTCAAGCATATTAACATACCTTACTCATCACTTCTATTAAATGTGAGAAAGAAAAAAAGGAAAAAAAGTCAAGAAAAAGGGCTTTTTACTTCCACCGTAATTTTTGTTTTTACTACAAGCAATAGGATTAGGGATGAAAATAAAAATTTGGGCAAAGAAATTGAGTGCTTTCTATTCAAAGGACAAATGACATTGGCAATCAACTAATAGACCAAAGACCAGTTCCCCTAGTTTTACGATACTTCAATTGGTTTAATAGTGTGCATAATGCATATTAATGCGTTCCAAATGAAATAAGTAGCATTTTGAATAAAATAAATAGCATTATCAAAAGTTTGGACATCACACATGTTCTCTAATGTGAAAATCTTAGTTTAATTCTTGAACTACACGCTGACATCTTTGTGAGAAGTTGGCATTGGGCACTAATTGGAAGACTTTTTAAGCGATAATTTTAATAAATTGAATAATGGTTGGCATTCTCTAGCAGTTTTAACAAAGATTTAGTACATGTTAACTAGAACAATATCTTATATATAGAAAAAATAAAAGGAAGACCAATAATAGATTCCAATAGTTGATAAATGTGAAGTTCAACTCTAAAGGGTTGATCTATAATTCTATATACATTAAGGAAAAATTATTAATTTAGAGATCAAGAAATTGAAATCTCACCCAAGAACACTTTCTTTGAATAGTTCAAATTGCATGGAGTCGAGCTTTGCCGACCTATGTCCATCATCTCATTCCTAATAAGGGTTAGTCTAATATAAGTTTTCATGAGAGAATATTATATGCTTCTTGGTGTGTTGAGTTCGAACTCTAAAAATAAAATTCTTTCGTAGGAGCTAAAACTTTGCATATTGAGTTTCGCACGATATAAAATTAGATGGATCATGTTTAAATGTCTTACAATCTTTGTTTTGCCTCCGGAAAGAGTTGTTGAAGGTTCGAGAAACTTGCTTTACTCAAGTTTTTACGTGTTTATTGGATCCATCTCTTAAGGAAAGACGACAAAAAATTATCAGAGTGTTAGAGGTGGAAAGAGTGAGAGAATGTTATGCACTCCTAATTAAATCGCCATGGTCCCACCTAAGCCATTGAATTGTATAAATACACATAAGGGCACCCAAGAAATAATTAGGGTTGTCTTAACTCTTAATTGGCCAAAAATGTGATGATGACCAAAAATAGAATTGGATTAGCATGTTGAATGAAGGTCAAAAATCCATTGGAATAAATGCAGTCGTACGTCAAAAGAGGGCCCTGTCTCTACGCGCATTGTAGACCAATTTTGTTCATTAAATTTAGTTCATTACGAAGACCATTGACAATTCAAGTAGGTATTAGTTAAGTTCATCATATCATGTCTTCACATCCTATGAAGACAACAACATTTAATTTTCACATTTATGAAATTGAAAAGTCTATGCACTACCAAATCCACAAATTGATTCACTCTACCAAGAATTCCCAATTGAAATATTTTTGTTTAATGAATTCGAATAGCGACCTTATAGTTATAGTTCAAACTAGGAGTGGCAAACGAGCGGGTCGGGTCGGATATAGTTCGGGACGAAAGCTGGTAATAAAAAAATGAATCAATTATCCGACCCGATCCATATTTAATACGGATAAAAAACGGGTTAACCGGCGGATAATATGGGTTACCCATATTATTCATGACTTCTTGTATATGATCACTTTTGGGAGAGTTTTTAGTCTCCCTAACTTGAGGAACCCCCAATTTGAGGCTTTACAAATGTAAAAGTTAGACTCATGGTTATCCATTTTCTAAATGGATAATATGGTTCTTATCCATAATTGACCCGTTTTTGAAAAGTTCATTATCCAACCCATTTTTTAGTGGATAATATGGGTGATTAACTGTTTACTTTGAACCATTTTGCCACCCCTATTATTNNNGGGGGGGGGGTCACAAAAGCAACTGAGGATTTGTTCCAAAAAAAAAACGCCATTTTCTTATCCACTTTCGTCGTTCATGAAAATAGGGAATCTTACATAAATGTCTTAAATAAGTCCCAACTTATCAACCTCTAGCCATTAATCATAAATTTACTAAAACTAGCCAAACACATATAAAAGTTGAAAACCCAAATAAATAAGGTTCTTTGTCTCCATGAATCACACGCAGAGATCTCATCTCGTATTTTAAGCGTGATTAGTAACATTAGATGCAAGACGGAAAATAAATTTCATGGATAAGGTAGCAAATAAGATGATGAAATGCAAAACAATATAGAGACAAAATTCCGAAAATCTAAGCAAAAAATTTTCTTTTCAATGGGTATGGTTGAAATTCATTGAAAACACATAGATGAGTCAATATACAAATTTTGATAAAGATTTGAGGTGATTTGGACTGATTTGGCATCAAAATTCATAATTAAAATCGAGTTCAAAAAAATCTTCTGCGACACATGTATCGAACACGTATCTCGGACACAGGTATACATGTGATACACATTTGATGCAAATATGATACATATCGATACACAGTGTGATACACATATCATTTTTTCATGTTTATCTTCTACTTCGAATTTTCAATTCAAACCACCTCAAAACTCTACCAAATTGTCCCAAAACTGAGATTCGAGCTTCTTAACATGTACCCAATCTATTCTCATAACACTCACTCAAAAGAAAGCAAAAATTTGACCTTTTTTGGCTACAAATAGATCGGCTAATATTAATAATATTCTTTGAATTGGTCAATTTTTATAATAAGCTACTTATAAATGGACATAGCTAGTAGTTACCTAATTGAGCGCATTAACTTCTGAATAATGCCAAAACCAAATAAAAACTAAACAGAACGGAAAAATAAAGTAGAATGAAAATATAGTTATAAAGTGGAGGTTACGAAATCCATATAATAGGCTATTTGACCAAACTTCTAAAAATCAACTTATTTTGAAAATAAAAAAAAAACTTTTGGTGAGAAACAACTTGTATTTGGCTTATTAATTTGAAAGTACTTTTGAACAACAATTATTGTTTGATCAAGCTTTTAAAACGTACTTAGTGTATTTTTCTCAAATGTATTTTTTTTAAATATTTTTTAAGAGAAACTACTTTTTTCTGCTCCTAAAAAATTGTTTTTGCTTCTACTTAAAAATATTTTTTTTATTTCTGAAAACTTAGGCAAACACCTTACTTTAAAAAAAAGTACTTTTGACCAAAAAACATTTGGCCAAATACAATTTGACATAACAGACTATTAATTAAAGGAAATTTTACCTCATATAGCAAAGCTATACACCCTATTTATTATAAATCAAAATCATTTAAAAATATTAGTTTTTATAGCTACCTTTTATATATTATAGCAAAATAAGTATTTATGGTATATACTGTCATTGAGGCATGAAATACACTATTTATGTTTTTCCTCTCTCTTTCTTTCAATTAATACACGATTCTCTCTCATAATTTTTCTCCTTTCTCTCTCTTTTCAAGCAAAATACCTGCTTCTAATCGTGAATTGTCTGGCCGAATAAAAAAGATACTCGTATATGGTTGCTAAGTTAAACACCTAATAACCAAAGGAAAACTACGGGGAAACACTATACATATCTAAAAACCTGATCCGTACGGATCTTCCTTTTTTGTTGAGCGCACCACTGAGAAGAAACAGAATCAGCAGTTGAAAAATCGTAGCAGCGCTTCACATT